AAGGCAATATAGAGCCAGTTATATGAAATAAGCTTTCCATTCTGCTAGCATGAGACCTTTATGATGGAGCATTTAGTCCTTAAGCAACTTTGCATTTTGATGGTCATCAAAATTTAATTTAAAAAACAAGTAACGTCTGGAGACTCTACCTAACTTTGCTGTTCCACTGTGGACCTCAACTTGTGGGTCTCCAAATGCAAACAAGGTCAGCTATTGGGCGTGTGATTGGTACTATTACACGTTACAGAGAGGGCATTTGATCTCTGATAAGTATAATTATATGGTTATAAAGTAATCATGCCAATCATTATTTACAAATATAACTATTAAAATGCTCAAAACTGCTATGCAAATATAAAATATTAATTGGGCATAAAAATAGTATTTCATTCTGTACAGACAGCAAGCTATGTTATATGGTACTGGTTTCATGGGGTGGCTATATATTGCACCAATTTCTGTTTCCACGCTCTGGTAATGAACACAACCAGCATTACAGTATAATCATCTCTCTTATTATTGAAAATAAAAGACTGAATGTAATATAGCCATTTGTGTATAATTTTGAAACACAAACATGTAAGTAAATAGCCCTTTTGAATGAACCTCTTTACCATTTCTCTATGAGGGCAATTTTCTTTGTTTAGAAACATATTCAATAAGCACTAGATTACTTGCATGATCTTTAGTCAGATGAGTGATGTTTCTAAACAAAGTGTGCACAAATATAGCCACACCAAACAAAGTAAAGGTAAACCAAGATACGCTGTAAAAAACGGGTATTTACTTAGATGCATGATCTACAATATTATACAAACAGACATGATATTTTACATTGGTTTGTAGCCAGATGAACAGGACAGGCATGTCCTGTTTGTTTGGCTACACATCAGTGCAGCATATTGCCTATGTGACTGCATTCTAATGTAGTCCATGCCTCACCTAGAGTCTGCAGATGGAATACTTAAAAGATTACACTATCACCCCGATGTAAAAGCGACAGCCAGTTTGTGACTCCCTGTCTTGTTAGAGTGCAAAACCCTTCGATAGCTACAGGTTGGCAAGATGGGTTCACGGATGCAAATATTAATTTAATAATTGAATTGAGTCAGTTTGGTAGATTGAAAAGAAAAAAAATGCCTCAAAGGGATCTGTTTAGGTCCATAATAAAAACATAACTCGGTAACAGTTATTATTTGTTTTATTTTTTTCTTAAGTGCCATGCAACACATACGGTTTACAACACTAAGTTTCCATATTTGAAACATTATTACCACAGATGCAGTAACTAGTAACACCACAAAGTACATACTACTTTCCTACATAACAGGACTAAAACTCTTTAATGTCTTGAAGCATCTTAGCCCGGGACTCAAACAAGTGCAAGGAATGTTAGCTAACTTGTCTGTCTGAATCTCCTCTCCTTGCCTAAAAAGGTCTTATTTGACAAGTGCTGGCCAGCAGCACCAATCAGAGGCAAGGATTAGAGCAGGCATGAAAACAATGTGTGACAAGTTCTCACTGTAGACTTTTCTTCAAACAGGGTCAATAAGGAGGAATTGGCTGACTGCACAAGGTTCCAATCATACAGTTATAGAAGATGGGCTCCTAAAACCCTAACAATTTATATATGTCTCAGTCGTGGAAGGTCCAATGTTAGGTGGTCTGATTACCTTTCATATATCACCTTTTAGAGTTGTGGTACAGGTAATCTAGTTTAACAAACTGCCCATGTTTTACTTTTTAATTTTTTTTAAATAGTGTAATACTTCTGTCCCTACTAGCCTCCATATGAACTACCAGAACACATTCACTTCCATCAGTAGGGAAAAATATATTTGTGGAGAGGAGTAAACATGAAAATAAGGTCAAGACAGATCCCCTCACCACTGATTAGGACCAATACGGCAGAAATAAATCCACTTTAACCACACTAATAAAAGGTACAGCACAGGCTGTATGCACTATAGTGGGAGTTGTAGCTATGAGGTCTCCATTTTAGACTCTCCTGGTGTAAACTTTTCGATTTTGTGCAGTTCTGACAATTTATTAAAGACTCCTTGGGCTTCATTCACTAGCATAGAATACCCTGAATCCATTGCCAAGTTGACATTTGTTAGTCTAGGTTCTCATATACACAAGTTTGGCTGAGCTCGGAATGTAAACTGAGGGTGGGGAGATTTGGCCATGCAGAGTTCAGCGTTAAGGGGATGCTGTTTGGCATTGTTCTGCAACATGTTGGTATACAGCTGCTTAACTGATCTGCCAGGTATCCAAATGTATTAAGTTAAATTGCCATTCAACTCTACAGGATTCAGAAGCATCCCTTTATATATCTGTAAATGCTGCGTGGAGTTTCAGATGTCAAATCAGAGGGCCTCACTATGCGGCCTGTGAGAAAAATCACAACTGAGTGCTACACAGGGTATGGCAGAAGTTTCAAGCTCGGTCAAAGATGGTCCCAGACAACCACAGAGAGCTAAATCCCAGGGCACACCTTGCATCAGTCACTATAAGCCTTAACGCTGCAGATTTCAGTGAACTCCATGTACCATGATCCTCAGCCAACATCAAGATCTGAAGGCTGGCTGAGCGTCCTGAGAAAAGTTTACAGAGATCTTCAGTGTCAAGGTTAGCCATCACTGCATTAGAACGAACAGAAGATTAATTCAAACAAAGCATGCAGTGGGTCTCTTTACTGTTGCAGTCTAGATTGGAATACAATAAGCAGAAATGACCAGTAGATTACACCATGATACATTACTAAGATTTTCTAATGTTCGCATGCAAGATTATCACACAATCTAAACAACAGCATGCAGTCCATGTCCCTTTCCATCCAACATCTTAGACATTAAGAAAAGCCAGCAGTATGGCCTTAAGGTATTCTTTTTATGTTCTGTTAAAGATATGCACGGGACTAGTAAGGGGAATTTAAAGGGACAATCCAATACAACTTTAATGCATTTGATAGATTTTGGCCTCATTTATTTATTTGCATGCTCAACTCTATAGTTTTTGCACAGAAAAAAATGCTTTGTAGAACACTGCACAATAAGCCTGCCTTATTAGCCACACCCCCTCATGCCAGAAAGACAGGCTCAGTCCCAACAACGCTAAGTAAGCTGCCGTTAATTCACAACCTGGCTGCCGATAGTCAGAGAAACTACAAGCAGGTAGTGATATCCTTACTATCACGGGCGTCTTTACTATCTGGGCAAACAAGGCATCTGCCCCGGGCTCAGTTACTCCTGAGGGGCCCCAGAGCAGTTGCTCCGTGAGCCCCATTGCCCGCAGTTTATTTGAGCAGCCCCCGTGGCCCCAGCACCGGCCCGCACACTAAGGAGGACCACCATGTGGGCATGTGTCAGCAGGGGCCTGGTCTAGCGCTGTGGCGTTTTAACAGCGCGACCGGGCCTTTTTTTTGGCACCCGTCTGGAAGTGACAGCCGCGTGTCAGTTCCTCTCACAGAGATCAGAGCCGCGCAGGAGGAGGAAGGTAGTGAGGAGTGGGCCAGGCCAGTAGTGCAAGAGCCTAACCCCCAACTGCCTCAGCCTGCCACTGGATCCCAGGGAAACCAACCTCCAATTAAAGGTAAGAACCTGGAAGGTGACTAATTGTAAATATTGCATGTGTGTGTGTGTGTGCCAGTATGCCTGTCAGTGTGTGTGTGCCAGTATGTCTGTCAATGTGTGTCAGTATTCCTGTCAGTGTGTGTGTGTCAGTATGTCTGTCAATGTGTGTGTCAGTTCATGTGTCAGTATGTGTCTGTGTGTGTGTCAGTATGTCTGTCAGTATATGTGTGTCAGTATATGTATCTGTATGTTGTCAGTATGTGTGTGTTTCAGTGTGTGTATCTGTAAGGGTACTTGTTTCAGTGTGTGTGAGAGTATCTGCATGCGTCAGTGTGTGTACCTGTGTCAGTGTGTGTACCAGTGTCTGTATATCTGCAAGTATCTGCGTGTGTTTTAGAGTGTGTGTGTGTGTGTGTGTCTACGTGTGTGTTTGTGTGGCTCTGTAGGTGGATATGTGCATACATCTCAGCATTTAAACACTAACACTACACACCAATACACCCCAGCATTCAAACTTCAACATTACATACAAGCACACTCCTTCATTGAAACGTTAACACTACATACAAAAATACCTCTCTGTTAAACACCAAAATATAAACACATCCTTGCATTCAAAAATCAACACAAATGTTTGCATTCAAACACCAACACCACATACAAGTATACTCTACTACTATATTTACACAAACATACTACAAATCCCCCCTCCCCCCCCCCCACACACACACATTACATTCAAACACACAGACACTGCTCAGTGCATAATACAGCCCTGCAAGCATGAGACAATGTAGAGCCCCAGCTGTCAAAGCATTTACCTTTTAGCCACCCTTGCAATAGGGGGGCGCAAAAAATTATTGCCCAGGGCTCTCTACTTTAGTACTGCCACTGCATTGGGGTGTGGGGTGTGATTGCATGCCAGTGAGTTGGTGGGGG